AGATGGGATTTTCCAACAATCAACAATGGATTCACAGTCATCATTAGATTCTTAATTCCAGATATTTATTGAATTCAAATTCCACCATCTGCCATAGGGGGGATTTGAACCTGGGTCCCCAGAACATAATCTGGGTCTCTGGATTAACAGTCCAGCAATAATACCACTGGGCCATTGGCTCCCCTTTTCCATCTTATGGCTGTGAACCTTTATATCCCTCCCTAACATTTGAAACGCGATATACCTCCAATGTTTAATTTCCCAGTCCGGTTTATTCTGTTGCCATAATATATCTGATTTCCCACAATGTCTTTTGCCTCATCTTCCCCTGTTTTATTTACATGCTGGTGCATTGCTGTACAGAGAGTTTAAGGGAACTTTACTAGCCACGTGTCTCACTTTAATTTTAAACATTATTTTACATTCATGGGCCTGTTACTTACCATTATTTACATTTATAAAATCATGAAGGAGGCTGTTCAGCCCCTTTATTCTATGCCAACCTATCTACACAAATCCCACTTTCTCGCACTTGATCCATAACTTTGAATGTTATGACATTCAAGAGCTCATTCATGTACTTTTTAAAGGTTGTGAGGGATCCTGCCTCAATTGCCCTCCTAGGGAGCACATTCCAGACCCCCACCATCCTCTGGATGATAAACATTTTCCTCAAAATTAATTCTAATCATTTATTCAACTGATGAAGGAGCAGTGCTCCGAAAGCTTGTTATTTCAAATAAAGCTGTTGTATTGTAACCTGGTGTCGCGTGACTTCTGACTTTGTCCTCCCCAGTCCAACACCTGCACCTCCGTATCACTATCATTTATGTCCTCACTTAATTTAGTCCTTCCTGAGTAATTAATATTTAGGTTAATTCATTTTGTGTAAAATGTGTCCTCCTATCGACTAAGGCCTTTGAGACTTCTCAATTAACCTTCTCCACCAGAACACTGGTCCGATTTGAGTTCAGAAGGAGCATGTCCCATTGATAATTTGTGTCCTTTAACTGATGTCCTACTTACGCCAGTGTTAAGGGAAAGTATACAGTTAAAGGTAGGATCCTTAGCAGCATTGATGTACAGAGGGATCTTGGGGTCCTATTCCATAACTCCCTGAAAGTAGCTACGTAAGTCGATAGGGTGGTAAAGAAGGCATATGGCATGCTTGCCTTTATTGGTCAGGGAAATGAGTGGGACTGCGGGAGTGAAAAGGAAAGTTGGACTCTCTTAAGTTATCTTTTTGTTCTTATCTTATTCTAAGTTAATGTGAATGGAGCCATGTGTGTATGTCAAAGGTAAACATTTTTCACAATGTCCTTACATTGAATACACGTGACAATAAATGATTCAATTCAATTCAATTGAGTACAAGAGTCAGGAAGTGATGTTGCAGCTTTATAAAAGTTTGGTTGGGTCGCACTTAAGAGTATTGCATTCTGTTCTGGTCACCACATGACAGGAAGGATGTGGAGGCTTTGGAGAGGGTGCAGAAGAGGTTTACCGGGATGCTGCCTGGATTTGAGGGTATGAGCTGTAAGGAGAGGCTAGAAAAACTCGGGTTGCTTTCTCTGGAGTGGCAGAGGCTGAGGGGAGACTTGACAGAAGTTTATAAAATTATGAGATGCATAGACAGGCTTGAGAGTCAGAATCTTTTTCTCAGAGTTGAAATGTCTAATACTAGGGGGCATGCATGGACGGTGAGAGGGCCAAAGTTCAAAGAAGATGTGAGGGGCATGTTTTTTACACCGACAGTTGTAGGTGCCTGGAACAGTAGTGGAGGTGGATACAACAGGGGCATTTAAGGGGCTTTAAGATAAAGACATGAATAAGCAAGGAATGGAGAAATATAGACCACGGGTAGACAGAAGGGATTAGTTTAATGTGGCATCATGTTAGGCACAACAGCGAGGGCCAAAGGGCACAGTTCCTGTGCTGTACATTTCTATGTTCTATAGTACCAGTTTTTTTTCCTTCGTTCATTCACAGGATGAGGGCGTCGCTGGCTAGGCAGCATTTATTGCCCATCCCTAATTGCCCAGAGGGCAGTTAAGAGTCAACCACATTGCTGTGGGTCTGGAGTCACATATAGGCCAGACCAGGTAAGGATGGCAGTGTCCTTCCCTAAAGGACATTAGTGAACCAGATGGGCTTTTACAATAATCAACAATGGATTCATGGTCATCATTAAATTCTTAATTCCACATATTTACTGAATGCAAATTACACCATGTGCCGTGGCAGGATTCAAACCCGAGTCCCCACAATGTTATCTGGGTCTCTGGATTAACAGTCCAGAGATAATACCACTAGGCATCACCTCTCCCTATTATGGTCCAGTGCCCCATAATAATACTTGACATGTTTACCCTTCTTCAGAGCTCTGACAGGTTCGAATAATGCAGAATGTGTTCAGAGAATGTCCAAATCTCTTTAATTTTCTGAGTGATTACTCTGAATGAAGTAATTCAATTACTTTGAAGAGCGAAATGGCTGCAGGCACATGTGCAGATGGGACCATTGACATCAGCTGGCTTCAGATAGACCCATGCCTGTACTGCTCTTGTCGTCATGTCCCATGCTCAATGACGTCAATTCGTTTCTTAAAGCATGCCTCGTACTGTCTCAGCCTCTCTCACTCCCTCCCAGCTCAGTGCAGCATGGGCAAAAATACCTGCTGGTTCTCCGTGCCATCTGCTTTGTTCCTGACAGCACAATCTGTAGGCTGGGAAGCTGGTTGTTTTCCAACCAACCTGCTCAGAGATGTTATGACACACCTCCAACCTCCTGGCTCAGACACAGGGACACTACCACAGTGCCAACTGAGCCCCAAAGTTTAATCAACCTGTTCAGAAACGTCTTTGAACTTGAACCCTTCTCCAGGCAGAGTGACGCTACCACTGCACCACATTATTTCTACAACGATCACATTTGATTACATGGTTATCATCAGACTAACCTTTTTATTGAATTCAAAATTCACCCTCTGCCATGATGAGATTCAAACACATGTCCCCATGGAGTTTAGATTACTGGTTCAGTAACATTACCACTACATCAATGCATCCCTGTCATACTTGAACCTTATAAATTTATCCCTTCATGGGGTTTAAACGCTATCCTTCATCACCCGTGAGAAGGTGGGGGTGAGCTGCCTTCTTGAACTGCTGCAGTCCATTTGCTGTGGGTTGACCCACAGTGCCATTAGGGAGGGAATTCCAGGATTTTGACCCAGCGACACTAAAGGAATCGTGATATATTTCCAAGTCAGGACGGTGAGTGTCTTGGAGGGGAACTTGCAGGAGGTGGTGTTCCCATGTATCTGCCGCTCTTGTCCTTCTAGATGGTAGGAATTGCAAGTTTTGAAGGTGCTGTCAGAGAAGCCTTGATGAGATACTACAGTGCTCTTCGTATAAAATTATTTTAGTTTGTCCTCTCCTGGGGATTGAATAGTCAATCAATTTGGCTAGTGTTACCCAAGTGAATGAACAATTGGTTAGTTAAATTTGTGTTCTCCAATGAGTGAATGGTCAGATTGTTTAGTTTCTGTTCTGCAGTAAATGAATGATCAGTAAGTTTGATTTAGTCTGTGTTCCACCAGTGAATAAAGGCTCAGTTAGGTTAGCCTCGTGTATGTTCCTGCAGTAAATGAATGACCAGTCTCTGTTTATGTGACCAGTCTCTGTGTACGTGACCAGTCTCTGTGTATGTGGCCATTCTCTCAGTGGGCCCAGTCTGTATATATGTACCCAGTCTGTGTGTGTGCCCAATCTATGTGTGTGTGCGTGCAGTCTGTGTGTGCCCAGTCGTTGTGTGACTATTCTGTGTGTGCCCAGTCTATGTGCCCAGTCTGTGTGTACGTCCAGTCTGTGTGCCCAGTCTGTGTATATATGTGCCCAGCCTGTGTATATGTGCCCAGTCGGTGTGTGTGCCAGGTCTGTGTGTGTGCCCAGTCTCTGTGTATGCCCGGTGTGTGTACGTATATGCCCAGCCTGTGTATATGTGCTCAGCCTGTATATATGTACCCAGTCTGTGTGTGTGCACCCAGTCTGTGTGTGTGTGCTCAGTCTGTGTATATGTACCCAGTCTGTGTGTGTGCCCAGTCTGTGTGTGTGCCCAGTCTGTGTATCTGTGCCCAGTCTGTGTGTGTGTGCCAAGTCTGTGTGTGTACCCAGTCTGTGTGTGTGCCCAGTCTTTGTATCTGTGCCCAGTCTTTGTGTGTGTGTACCCAGTCTGTGTGTGTGTCCAGTCTGTGTGTGTGCCCGGTGTGTGTGCCCAGTCTGTGTGTGTGTGCCCACTCTGCGCGTGTATGTCCAGTCTGTGTATCCGTGCCCGGTCTGTGTATCTGTGCCCAGTCTGTGTGTGTGTCCCCAGTCTGTGTGTGTGTGCCCAGTCTTTGTACCTGTGCCCAGTCTGTGTGTGTGCCCAAACTGTGTATCTGTGCCCAGTC